AAAAAAAAAAAACCTAGTAATTTATATTTTGCACACTCCCCTTCTTGTTATAGGTCATTTAAAATTTTAAGTGTGGATTTTTTATGTTACAATGTAACGGAATATTGAGCAATTTAATTTCAATAACAACAAATCAACTTTTGACTTTTTCAAGCATAATAGTATGATTGATCATTGTCAAGATCAAATAGCCAGATATCACGTTACATTGTCACGTTACAAATCCAACCAAAATGGCAGTTCTGCGAGCTTTTTCTTCAAAGAAAAAAGAAGATGCTCTTTTGTGGAATACTAGCATAATTTCTGTGGAAAACACGTGTTTTGGAATCCTGGGGTGTGGTCAAAGCAAAAGTTTTTTAAAGAATGGGGAGCAAACTTGGGTGTGCATGATGTAGATGTTGCCATTACAGAGGCCCAATTTTCAACAGTGAAAATTGTGGTGCAGAGCAGCTAGCAAGGATATATACCTTGCCAGCGCATACGCGTCAAAGTACAACCCTGACTCCTGCGCATAAGGTTAAAAAGTCTTCACAAGCTCACAGGGACAATCTTGTCCCTCAAAAACTTGCGAGGCTTTTTTTTTTTTTTTTTTGATTGGCAGCTTGCAAGGTTTTCTCGTTCGCTTGGATGGTGCTTGAGTAAAAACTTTGGGAGGTCAAAAAAAATTTAAGGGTGTAGGATAAAAAGATAAATTCTTGAGGGACTAAATAATACAAAACACAAAAAAAATTGAAGGTTTTGTAAATTTTTGGGGGCCACGGCCCCTTTAGTCTATACTAACCACGATCATTGCCTGTCTATCAAGTAGGAAATGAAGGGTAAATGACATCTTTACCAAATAATAAGATATTGTTTTAAAAAGTTTCTGTTTAAATTTTACTTTTAAAATTAAAAATTGTGTTAATAACTAAAAAGGTTATAAAATTAGTCTCTTAATTAATGAAAGGATATTAAGTTGTTACCCAATTAAGAGTCTTGCCCTTGAGGTGGATAGCAGCTAGCTAGGATGTGCCAGCGCATTCGAATCAAAGTACAAACCCAATTAATTAGTTTACCCAAAAACAAAACTACAAGTCCTTCGGAAGCGATATTTCTCTATTTCAGTGCTGAAAATTTAAAGAATAGCATATATACCTCCAAACAAGTACAGCCCTTCCGGCAAAACTAACAAACAAGGATGCAATTTTATGAAGATACAAATATGCATTAGAAGAAATCAAAAATTTTGTGGCATACAAGTACAGCCTCTTTCCCAGTGCTTAGTTCAACGAAAATAAAAAAACAAAGAAAAGGAAAGGCCCTCACTACGACGGCCCTAAACAGTATTAGTACTACTACTGTTTAGCAGCATTGAAAAATTGCGGCAGCTCGAAATAATGCTGCCATGTGATTTTATTACACTTTTCTTACAAGTGTAAGGATAGTCAATGTGTGAAAAAGTATTTAGTAGCACTTTAATTTTATTATTTCTTTTCAAAATGGTAGTAGTTTAAAATGTGTAGTTAAAGAGCATCAAATTACATTTATTCTTAAATGTGGTTAAAAAAGTGCACTAAATGCGTCTAAGTGTTTTGTTGACAAGTAAATTTGTTATTTTCATATATAGATGACAATATATATAAAGAAGAAAATTAATGATAAATGAAATTAAAATTTGAGATTAAAATTTAGAATTAATGACGCAACATAAATTATGTCATTTAAAATATTAAAAGATAAACCTTATATTATTTAATAATTGATTTTTTTTAATTTTTTTAAAATCTATAAAATTATATGCATCAATTAATTTAATGACGTAATATAAATTACGTCATTAGTTCTAAGTTTACATCCTTTATATCATTACTCAAATAAGAAATTGGTGTTTTTCGTTGGGACCAAAATACTTTTAATGAATCTTATACAATAAAGGTATTTAGATACTTTCACAACATAAAAAATTTTGATATAAATATATATAAACAGTATTGTGTAAATTAAATATAATTTAATTCATTTAAATTATATGGCTTAAATTATTAAATAAAAAATAAATTTATGATATTAAGAGTTATTCTTTTAGCTAATAGTCTTAATTACAAAATAAAAATTTTTAAATATATCTATTTGGAAAATCAATAATCTAAAAAATAGACAGTATTCTGTGACGAGACAAGGGCAAGAAGTGGTCCTCAAATTCCAACACTCTCCACGCATATATGGACTAGATGTATATAAAAAAGGGAAAGGATTCGAGAAGATGAAAAAGAACATGTGGAGGGAATATATGGAATTGAAAAATTAGCTGAACTAATAGAACCCTTGTCTCCCAGCAGAGGCCCAGATCACATGACAATATCATATGTCCAAAGAAAGTATATGTCACAAACAAGTACAGTAGCGACGAGACCACAAAAGTAAGTTTTTAATATTCCGTGTAGGCACAAGAGACGTTGGTTTTGGGTTGTGGAATTCAATTCAATTCACTTCTAGCCTGGCCGATGCTCATTGTGGAGAATAAGATAATGTGTACCATGACAACGACCTCACCAGCAATTTCTTATATATTTTTTAATTTTTTTCAAAATCTAATTCTTACTTGGATTAAGATTTTTTTTTCTCATATTTGACTACTTGCATGATCAGATGGAGCTTGTTTATATTTTTACCCATCTCACTTATATATTTATGATTTAAATATAAATTTTTTTTTATTTTCAAAATATTATTATTAAACTGCTAATTAAGTTGTTGATTGGATTAAGAATTATTCATTTAGGGATTATTTTATGGTTTTAATGGTTGCAGCAAACTTTGCTGTGGTTGAGCTGATCCATCCAACCAAACTAAAATGATGGGAATCATTTATTTATTCTTTTTATGTTTTTTAATGTTAATTAAAGAATTTAATTAAGAAAAAGGATTAGATTATAAGGGTATCAATCAAAGATATGTCACATGAAAGATTTTAGAATTTATACTATAATCATTCATTAGAATCATTAGTAAATAAACTATTAATTTAGGATCTATCTGGAATCTATCCAAATTTTTAATTTTTTTTTTCAAGAAGAAATGTCATTCGTGTTTTCAAGTTTCAACTCAAATTGAGATGAGTTTCAGAGGAGGATGAAGATGGTAAAAGATTCTCTGATGATGCGCAATTATAGCTTTGATTTCGTTTCTGAAAATTCTGACTTGGTCAAAAGCATGGGTTTAATTGGTTTGGTGGCGTTAGCTCATCATAATTCATATATATACCATAATTTAATTTAACAATGAATTTCACACTGGAAAACACTTTTTTTTTTTGTTGCCAAATCTTTCACTACTTGTTTGATCTGGTCATAAAATTAATTATAAAATCTTCATGGTTTTCTGCCAATATTAAATTTAGGAGTAGTACACAATATTGTCTTATTTTTACATGAAACCTGAATCCTGGAAGTTGGAACTGCTTGTTTGTTCCTCATAAGTATATATGGATTAATATATATGAAAAGAGAATTGGTTCTTTGTGGCAAAATGATTCGTCTCTAAATCTTAAATATTTAGATATAATTGATATAAAATTTGATTTTTAC